TCATTGTCCAATTCTCTGATGCATAACAAGTGATAGCAAAGACCATGGCCTGTATCAGACGCACCTTAGTCTCCAAAGAGACACCATTGCTCTTCAGTACTTTGGAGAGGTCCCTAAAAGCAGATGTTCCCATGGCAATCCATCTTCTAATTTCCTGGCTACTGGTGCCGAGAGTGTTGACTGTGGAGCCAAGCAAACTGAACCTGTGAACAATCTCAATCTCTTCACCATCCATCCTGAAGCTGCCAATAGGCCCAGTGGTGAGAATCTTTTGTCTTCCTGACATTGGCCTCAATCCATATTGGAGGCTGTAGTCCTTGACCCTCTGCAGCAAGCGCTTCACGTCCTCCTCCGTTTCAACAAGCAGGGTTGTATCATCTGCATATCACAGATTGTTGATAGATCTTCCACCAATCTTGACCCCACATTTCTCCTCATAGAGCCCAGCCTCCCGGATAATCTGTTCTGCATATAGGTTGAAAGGTATGGAGATAGGATGCATCCCTGGTGTATGCCCCTCCCAATTTTGAACCATGCTGTGTTCTCTTGCTCTGTTCTGACGACTGCCTCTTGGTCCTAGTATAGGTTTCTTATTATCACAATCAAGTGTTCTGGGATTCCCATTCTTCTCAGATTCAGCCACAGTTTGTTATGATCCACACAGACAAATGCCTTTGCATAGTCATTCCTCTGGTACTTCCTGCTTTCAGCTAAGATCCATCTAACATTAGCTACAATATCCCTAGCATCACAACCCCTTCTAAACCCAGCCTGGACTTCTGGCAGTTCTCTGCTGGTGTGCTGTTCCAGTCGTTTTTCGATAATCTTCAGTAGAATTTTGCTTGCATGTGAAATCAATGAGATTGTTCTATAGTTTCCACACTCTGTTGGGTCGCCCTTCCTTGGGATGGAAACAAATACAGATCTCTTCCAGTCAGTTGACCAAGTGGTTGTTCTCCAGATTTCTTGGCACAACTTGGTGAGCACATCCAGGGCAGCATCTATTAGCTGAAATATGTCAATTGGTATACCATCTATTACTGGGGCTTTATTTTTGCTATTTCCTTCAAAGCAGCTTGAACTTCTGCCTTCATCACCATAGGCTCTTGCTCATATGTTGTTTCATAAAATTCTTCTGTGTCTTCCAATTCCTTTTGATACAGTGACTCAGTATATTCCTTCCATCTTCTTTTAATACTTCCTGGATCATTTAATATTCTGCCCAA